ATTATTCTGCTGTTTTATTATCTACTTATGCTTCTTCCTTTGCTCCCAGTCCCATGCTGCTCGTTCGTCTCTAATCTCACAACAAGGCTTCCCAACAGTTAGGATCTCGACTCATCACACTCCCTTGGGCCGCTTGCATGTCCTTCCTGACTTTCTTGCCATGCCTGCTATTCTCAAGTCTTCATTTCTTTCAACCCACAACATAAAATGCACAGGGATCTCTCATCCAATTCCCTGAGTGGCCCCATGTTCACCAACTTCGCCTTCCTTGATGGCCTCACCTACCTGTAGGAGTTTCGCTAGAATGATTGTTTTATGTGCCAGCCCAAGGCTGCATTGCCCTCTCATGTGCCAAGCCTGCACTGCGCTCTCATGTGCCAAGCCTGCATTGTGCTCTCATGTGCCAAGCCTGCACTGCGCTCCCATGTCCCAAGCCTGCACTGCCCTCCCTCATGTGCCAAGCCTGCACTGACATGTTCAATGGTGCTCGCGCATCAACTCACTTTCGTAATTTCTCTTTAGATATTCTCCCCGTCCCATTGTACCAACCTGCCATCTATATTCTCTTGGGATGGCTGCACGCGTTGAAACTGCCAGGTTTCCCCATCTCATGCATGCAGCACTGAACGGAGGGATGCATGCCTTCATGTGGATGGATGGATGCATGTCTTCGTGTGCATGGGTGGATGCATGCCTTTATGTGGATGGATGGATGCATGCCTTCAAGTAGACGGGTGAATGCATATTGCTGCACTGCTGCGTGTATGAGACTAACTGGGCTTACTTACTCCCACTCTATTCGTCCAACCCATGTGAGCAGAAACCTCGCTGCTAATAACCTCATTGGGGAGATTCCAGCTCAAATTGGAGGCCACACTAGTTTGAAGTACTTGTGAGTAGGCTTGAGCAAGTACCAGCTCGAACCAAACCTGTAACTTGCGAGTACTCTTGAGCAAGCACTGAACTCAAATCGGACCTGGGGCTTTTGAAAAGGCGTGAGCGAGCACCGGATCCGAAATGAGCCTGGGAGCAGTGTGAGAGAGGCTGATCTAATGCCGGGGTGCTGGCAATGTCTCCACGCCCTTCCTAGTCACCATCCCCATACTGTTCCCACATTCAGGACCAATTAGTCAATATTCCGGTTGAATTTGAAATTATTTCCGCCTTTTCGTCTCCCCTTTTCCACTGCAGCAACATCTCTGGCACCAACCTCACATGCCCACCTGACCACTCTACCTGTGGCATAACACAATCTCCTACCACGTCTTTTTGCCGCACGTGTAAACCCTTCTGCAATACTTGCACCAACCAATCTGCAGGCAAGTACATAAACACTAACCAAGTATTATTTTAGAGTGGAACGCAACAAGACATGATGATTTGTTAAGATTGTTGTTCCAGAGAAATATGATATAGGAATCAAATTTTGGTACAGCTAGCAACGCATGGCACATGGGAATGCATGGCAACGCAAGGGAATGCAGGGAATGCATGGCATTGCATGGCACAAGGCATGTTCTGGAAAAGAACCCCTCACGTGCTAATTCTCATAGTGATCAGCTTGCAGCAATCCTCATTGCGCATGTGGATATACGCTCATGTCATTTGCAGAAATCAGCAGCAGCAGCAGCAACAGCAGCAACAGCAGCAGCAGCAGCAGCAGTGGCAGCAGCAGCAGCAGCAGCGGGGGCAGCAGCAGCAGCAGCGAATTTTCGTCAGCAGGAGGTGGGGGTGGAGTGTCAGTGGGAGTCATAATTGGCATTGCTGTTGCTGCTGTGGTCATTCTCCTGCTTCTGGGCGCCACACTGGTTTACTTCAGGCACAAGATACAGCCGAAGCCAAAAGGTACGGAAACAACGCAATAAAAAAGTACACTCCAGAAAAGGTACAGCTGCATTCTGTCGATGAATTTGTGTGCGGCTGTTTGCAATCACATAAGGATACGTGACGAGCAAGGTTTTCACTGCATGAAACGTGACATGAGCATGCTAGTGTGCAAGCCTAGTCATGACCAGCTTCTTGGCTTGAAATGGGCGACTTTGACTCGCCACAAGCGCGTGACTTGGTGCACAAATCTGCTTCAGTCACAAGCTTACATTCTGTTTGCCTTGTTTAATGGTGGATGTACCCTAAGGGACGTTAAGATGGGCTACACAATTTAAGAAATAAAGTGCGGCAAGGTATTGAGGCAACAGATGGTTTTAAGATGTCGAGTTTTGGAGCTGTGAAAATCTTAGAGCCTCTTGGCACTTACTCTGTATAACCCCCAAGTACATATTGGGTCGTCAGTTTCATGACCCGTAAAATGACATCACGCTCGGACTCAACTCCGATTCACAAAGCATGTTGGGGCAAGTGTCACGTCTGACCCGACTCTACTCAGCAAAGAGTATGATTCAAAATAAGCAACCAACTGTATGGAAAGTAATTCAAGCAGTTGTTGATAATCGTTTTATTGTTTTAAATAGAGCACCTACATTACATCGATATAAATCGATGTTTCTGTGTATATCTTTTGTATGTATTTCGCAAACCGTAAAAATGAAGTTTTCTTGTTTTGTGGGGGGAGGAATCTAGTAGCGTCATTTGTTGCAGCATTATTTGGAACCATCCCTTTCCTCGCTTATTGTGTATTATGTCTAGCCGAATCAACTCGACTTGCGACTTGATCAAATCGTGCTCAAGCATGCTTCCCTGCACCCACGGACCTCCTTTCACGTCTGACACTACAAGCAGGCCCGACCAGCAGCCTGGCAGCCTCGCACTGCACGGAGTTCTCACTAGCAGAGATTCTCAAGGCCACCAATGACTGGTCCCCTGACAACGAGCTGGGCTCGGGTGCCTTTGGCGAAGTGTACAAGGGCGTCTCTCCCCGCGATGGCGCCACCTTGTGGGCTGTCAAGCGAGCCAGGCTGATAAACGTGGGCTTTCAGAAGGAGATCAGTCAGCCATGGTGGGGCATACGATGCCTTTACTCAGCTGACTTTTGAGTCGACTCAAAAGTCACCTTGTGGGCTGTGAAGCGAGCCAGGCTGATAAACGTGGCCTTTCAGAAGGAGGTCAGTTAGCCATGGTGGCGCATGCATGAAACAGCAAGGCAACTCCTCTATTTGTTCCTCAATTGCAACCCCACAGTATGGGCTGTGAAGCGAGCCAGGCTAATAAACGTGGGCTTTCAGAAGGAGGTCAGTGAGCCATGGTGGCGCATGCAAAGCCTTTTCTCACAAGCCTTTGCAGACATGAAATTTCAAGCCAGTTCCTCAATTTGTCGCGGTTATTCGGCTATTTGTTTGGAGCTCTTCTTTGCAATATGTTTTCTCTGATGTTTGCCCTTTCTGGCTGGCTGTGAGGATCAGATCCAGCAGATGGCCGACAAGAACCATCCCAACATTGTGAAGCTCCTTGGCTTTGCGATCGGCGGAGACTTGAGAACACAGCCAGAGCAAGTTCTCATCTATGAATACGTGCCCAACGGCGATCTTAACAAATGGATCGGTCTGAGTACGTGTGCCTCTCCAATGTTGTTTATGATATTCCACTCATGCTCTGCCACTCATGCTCTGCCACTCATGTTGTGCCACTCGTATGTTCCGCCATTCATGCTGTGCCACTCATTTGCTGTGTCACTCGTATCGTGTAGCGTGACCTTGACTCTAAAGCTGCTTGCCAGTCTTACGCTGTGCCACACAAGAGCTGTACCATGCATCCCTGAGATGTAGCCTGCCCTCGGCCACTCTTGATCTGCCACTCATCTGATGCCACTCACCTCTGCCAATCCTTGTCTGCTACTTATTCCTTGCAGAGGCAGAACGCCACTCCTCCTCTGCCACTTATCTTCTGGCACTTATCATCTGCCACCTATGCCCTTCCACTCATCCGCTCGCACTGACTCCTTGCAGATGCCAAACGCCCTCTGACTCTGAAGCAGCGGCTGGACATTTTAATTGGCATGGCACGGGGCTTTGAGTACCTCCACAGCTTTGGCATCGTGCATCGCGGCATCAAGCCTGCCAACGTCCTCGTCACCGAGTACATGCAGGCAAGCTTGGTTGCGGTGAATTGTTTTGATGTCAATCTGATTTCCATGGTAGGTGCACACACCATGGAAAATGTTGGCGACTGGGCTATGCATTTATTTGCCTCTGCATTTGAGTCTGGATAAACTAGCTAATGATCACATGACCAGATCATGAAGACGCCGCAGAGCAGACATGAGCAAAAGGCAAATGCAAACGTGTTTGCCGCGAACCCAAACGAACACTTACCTAAGGCGACTTGAACACATTTAGATCAGGCTGATTTCCTTTTGGAGGCAAATGTCCTCATCACCCGATAGCATTCAGCCAAGCTTTTGGTGTCAGAGTTGCTTACTTATAGTGGACGCAAATTTGATAAGATTTTAGTCAAGCTATGCTAGTAGGTGTCTGAGTCCTGTACACACTTACACCTATATGATTTTCATCGTGCTCTCTGTTCCGTATCTTCCATGCTACAACAACTCTCATCACAATGACCAGGCAAAGATTGCAGACTTTGGGCTGGTGAGGCTGGGGGAGGGCACCAGTGTGGGTACGACACGCATTATGGGCACACCGGGCTATGTGGACCCGGCCTACTCCCGCACGTCCAAGGCCACCACCGCCAGTGATGTCTACAGGTGAGGCAGTAGACCCTTGGAAAGTATTGCAGGAGTCCATCGGAAAGCTTGCAAGAGTCCCTTGGAAAGCATTGCGGTAGTCCCTTCCAAAGCATTGCAGGAGTCCCTTCTAGTCATTGCAGTAGTCCCTTGAAAAACATTGCAGTAATACCTTCGAAGCATTGCCAGAGTCTCTTGAAAAGCATGAGAGTAGTCCCTTTAAATTGTTGCAGGGGTTCCTAAAAGCGTCCCAGGGGGCGCTCAGAAAGCATTGCAGCCGCTTAGAATCATTGCAAGAAACCTTTGGGAGGCATTTGCAGAGGCGATAAGAAAGTGAGCTCCATTTACTATGTGTCTAGAGTCCATGAAGCTGTGCTCAATGCATTCAGCTGGCAAGATTCATCTAAAGTGCCTCTGTCTCCACCTCTCCCTCTGCATCATGTGCCTCTGTGCTGTGCTTTTCTTTTCAGCTTTGGAATGCTCATGTTGGTCATCCTCACAGGACGCCCACCATTCTTAGGGACTGATGGAGACGGTCAGCAGATCACTACATGGGTAAGCACCCCATCCATGAAATCGGCCTGTTCTTATTTTCTGTGATAGTGTCATCTCAATAGCAGAAGGGAACACCCCCGTCCGCTGCCCAGTGTTTGGTTGTGGTACACCTTGAGCACGTCCAGTTTTACTGGTGGTCCTCTTGGGGCCTGCAGGTGACTCCATGGGTAAGAACCATTCTGCTGCTACGCAATAGCTTAGCTAGCGTCTTCTTGATGGCATCGAAAGAATTCCTTCTACACCTCCGTGATTAGGTATCGTCTGTTTGTGATTTCTCCCACCCCCTACACCCGCTCCACTCCCTCAGGCGTCCGAGCGCATGTCCTCGGGTGACATGGAAAGGCTCGGGGATCCCACCATGGATGCCCCTGCAGATGCTGTGCTGCGTGTGGCTCAGCTCGCCCTCACCTGCACCGCGGAGCGCACAGCAGCCCGCCCAAGCATGGCGCATATTGCCAACGAGCTGCAGGCCATCCGGGAGGAGTGGGTGGGGAAAGAGGAGCTGAGCGCTGCTGCAAAGGTGGATGCGCGGGTGCAGAAGAAGAAGGAGCTTATTGCCAGTGTGTTAAGCCTCGACACGGAGCTTCGGATTATTGAAGACAATTTGGCAGATGGATAGAATAAGTTTTACCATTGATTATCCCCCCAATAAAAACCCCTACGGGCCTCTAGTGTTTTGGATTTTTTGGGTGGGTGGTGGTGTTTGGGGCGGGGGGGGGGGGGGGGGGGGGGGGGGGGGTGTAGGAGGGTCGGTTTAATCTAATGTTTTGATATAACCCATGGGCTTGTATGTAATGCATATATATGTACTAAAAAACAAAAGTTGCACTGTCATGAGGAAAATGTCAAGCTATGTATATATCTTTGTTAGATATATTAGCTTGCAGTGAGGTACCTGGTATAGAGTACAACACTTTTCTCAACATTCACACTCGTATCCCATTGTCCCTAGTCATCATGGTTTCACTACCAACTCAGAGATGGTATCATCCTAGGTTCCTACCTTGACGTAGCCTCCATTCTTAGGTTCCTATTTCCTGTCCAGCTAGCCTGCCAGTAGGCTCGCCCCTTCTAGTAGCGTGTTCAGCAGCTGCGTGTGCATTAGTCACGCGAGCCATAGCAACAAACATGAACATCAGTATGCATTGTTGTATTATTGTGCATAAAGAACGTGCGAACAGTGCGAACCGTCCATAGCTGCTTTCGACGGCATTGCCGCGCACTGCCGCGCGCAACTACGATCGGTGGCGACAGCGCGACCGCCCACAGCCGCGCGATGCAAGCACAGCTGCGTGCAGCGCACGCAGCAAACGGCCGTGCACAGCTGCGCCCAGCAGAGCCCAGCCCTGCGTGAGAGCTGCCAACAGCCGCGCAGCTACGCACAATGCGCCTCCAGTCGTCCGTAGCCGCCTATAACCGCCCATAGCCGCCCACAGCCGCCCACAACCGCCTACAGCCAGCCAGCCCCGCCCACAAGCGCGCACAGTTCGCCCCGCTCCTGCATCCGCCAGCGATAGCCCCCCTGCGCATGCCTGCAATTACCTCACTGCCAGTGCTGGCCACAGTACAGCGTTACTCTCACTGTTCTCCGTCGTAGCCTACGCCGAGATGACGTTTACGATGAGGACACTCAGGCGCGAGGAGAAAGAGTACCGCTAGAAGGTCGGCTCGCTGCAGTTTGCAGCGGCGGCGACGACGACGAGGCAGGACATCGCCTTCGCGTGCAGCAAGATGGGGAGCGGCTTGGCGGTGAGGAGAGACCAGCATTGGCCCGAGGTCAACCGCTACCTCTCCTATCTCACCGACACCCGTGACGCCGCCCTGGAGTTCGGCGGTGGACCTGGGTCGCTGTGTCTGGTCGGCTACGTAGACGCCGGCGATGCTGTTGACAAGCAGAACTGCACGAGCATGGGAGGCTACGTGCTCTGGAGGGGCCGCCGTCTCCTGGACGGGCCAGCGTATCAAGTGCGCGACGCTGTCGTCGACCGAGTCGGAGTACAAGGCGTCCACCGAAGCCGGCAAGGGGGCACGCCAACTTCGCTTCCTCCTCGTCGAGTTCCAGCTGCTGGACGTTGCGACGCCGACCGTCCTTCGTGTGGACAATCAGTCAGCCATTACGGTCGCCGAGGGCTTGGGGCTGAAGGGCAACCTTCAGCACATGGAGCGACGCTACGCCTGGCTGCAGCAGATGGTGAAGCGCAGGAAGTTCGTGATGAAGTACGTCCCGACCACCGAGCAGCCGGCCGATGTTGCTGACGGTGACGATGACGTGCAGCAGTAGGTGTCGTGTCCTTCCGCACGACCAATATGGTGACCGGCATGTTGTGTGTTGTGTGCACGCCAAAAAGGACCTTTCTCCGTGTACCAGGTCCCTTGGGTTATGGGGGGCCTTAGCTTGTAGGTTGTCCAAGCGTGAACGCGGCAGGGGAGTGTTAACGGGACTTGGCTCGCCCTCGCTTGGGCGGAGCCAACTTCGTGGTCGGGTGTGCGGGAGGTGCAGCCGAGTGTCTGCAGTGGGCGACGCCGACTTAGGCGAGCAGGTCGGCAAAGTTGTTCAACCTACACGGGGCCACTACGAAGCTGCCAACGACGGGAGGCGGCGGCTGGCTTCATCTTCGTGGTCGACGAAGTGATTGTCGACCTGGGAGGGGCGCCAACTTCAGGGTGCCGACCTTGGGAGACCAACTTGGCAAAGTCGGCAGACAGCCTCATGGTGGTCGACGAACGGGGTTGTCGACCTGCAGGGTGGCCGACTTGGTGAAGTCGGCGGTCGTTGACCTAGGTTGAACACGAGCACGTTCAGCAGTTGGTCAACTTTGACCGCGCAAGTCGACACTGACTTGGTGGTTTCCTGGTCGATCAAGTTACCAAGGCGACGGGGTTCTGCGGGGTGCGCGACCGTCGTCAGGGGGTTTTGGCGAAGCCGACCTCGGAGTGGTATCCCGAGGTCGACGTGGCTCATTATGCGTAATCAACAGCACGTGGCCGACTTGGCAGCGGCGCCGTGAACGCGACGGTGCAAGCACCTGCAAAGTAGGTGCGCGCGTGTGCGCTTTTGTCACCTACGGATGCAACGCTGGACGGCTGCCTTGCTGTAGCGTTGGCAAGCCGCCGGCTTGCTACATTGGCAAGCTGCCATTCTGCAACGTTGTAGCAGTGTGGACTTAAAGTGCTGGCAGTTCGCCGACTTTGCTGTGCCGGAGGCCGACCTGCCTGTTTGCTAGGTTGACAACCTGCCAATGTGCATATGGGTGGCTTGCCAACGCTACAGCTGAGCGGCTAGCCAGCGTTGTAACCGCTGATGACAATAGCGCACATGCGCATCCGCTTCGTACGTGCTTGTAGGCAGTATAGCACATTGTGCCTTGTTCCGCCTGTCGCGTAGATGTTCAGTCGGTTACGTGCTGACGATCGCGCCAAATGCTCCACGTCGACCTCGGGATACCAGCCCGCAGGTTGACTTCGCCAAAACCCGCAAAGTAAAAATCCGCGCTTCTGCCATGTTTCGCAGTAGAGCAGCCTCCTTTGTCTGGCACAACGTCGAGCAGCACTCCTCGACGGGCTCGTCGACCAGGTCCTGTCGAGCAAGACCTGCTTGACCACCACTTCTGTCGACCAAATATTTTGGTCGATCAGGTAGCTCCGACGTCGGACTCGCCCTGGCTGTAGGAGCCAGCCAACTGCTATACCTGCTCGTCGACCGCCCTGGTCGACACTGTCTGCTGACTTTCCCGCGTCGGCGTCCCACATGTCGACGAACTCCTTCGTCGACCACCCAGGTAAAAATAGGCCGCCGGTCTCCTTTAGCAGCAGCTTCGCAGAGGTCCCACACAGGTCGACCAGCGTCGTCGACCTGCTCCCTCAATTTGGCGTCGACCTCTACTGGCAGTCTGTTGCACCTCCCGCACGCCCAACTGCGTAGTCGGCTCCACCCAAGCAAGTGCGGGGCCAACTCCCATCAACGGTTCAGTGCAACTCTCGGTAATCAAAACGTTAAACAGAACCATCGGTGTGCACTAAAACATGACTCCATGAAATGAGCGACAATCCGATCTCCAAAACTCTTACCCAGAGCCATCACCGTGACACACAAAGTTCAACCTGATAATATATGTATCCTGGTAATTTACACTGATAGAATAAGCCCTCACTCGGACTTTCGAGTCTTCGGTTGTTTTTTTATAACTTTCGAAATCGGCATTAGCTTATTTGCACACTACGTACAAATCAATCCCACAATATCCCACCAAAACCATATCTCAATCTTTCATTGGCAGTTTGAGAACTTCCCTCCCACGGTATAGCCCTCGAAACTCTTGCTCTACCCAAGCACCTCACCCAAAGCGATTTCATTGTGCCACTTGTGCAAAAAGCTGAAACCAGCCAACCCCTTCACCTCGCCCCAACCAAGTTCCCCCCTCCCCCTTGCTACTAGCCCCCCATGTCTCTGTTCTTCTCGCCAAACCTGGCTGAACACTGCAACTCTGGTTTCAGTTAGACAACCCTGATAGCTCAGAGTGTGTTTTTTGTGAACACTGTGCACGATGAGAAGGCTCAGACTTCCCGTTTCGCAGCCAATGGGCCTTCATAGTAAAGCTATTCAGGGAGGCTGGAATCAGGGTCGTTATATTTGAAATGTCAGCCCTGGTATTAGTAGTGTTTCTCGACATTCACACTCAGCTGTCCAATGAAAACTACTAGTTGTCAGTACAACATATTTTATCCTTCAGCCAAGTTGTCATCCAGAATCTGAAGCTGTTCGTCGAGGCTTAACGCACTGGCAACAACCTCCTTCTCCTGCACCTGCACATCCACCTTTATTGCCGCGCTTAGCTCCTCTTTCCCCACCACCTCCTCCCGGATGGCCTGCAGCTCGTTGGCGACGTGTGCCATGCTTGGGCGGGTTGCAGTGCGTTCCGCAGTGCAGGAGAGGGCGAGCAGAGCCACACGCAGCACAGCATCTGCAGGGGCATCCATGGTTGGGTGGTTGAGGCTCCCCAAGTCCCCTGAGGTAAGGCAGTCCGATGCCTGCGGGAATGGAACAGGCAGGAGAAATCACAAATAAAGTAAGGTTAGCCAGTTCAACAAGGTGTGGACAGAACACCCCTTTGATGTCATTCAGAAAACGCTACATATGCTATTGTGTAGAAGTGCAATAGTTCCTGCAAAACAATGACTTCATCCAAGAAGAATTGACCGTTCTTGAATAGTGTAGGAGATGCTATCTTACTAAGTTGGAAAAGTCGAGCCCAGCGTATTATACGCAAGCGTATATACGCTTGCGTATGATACGGGATGTGCTGAATGAGTGACTCAGGAATACGTGAAAAATACGCTGCCCAGGCAGGTAAAACTTTTTTTTCCGGTCAGGAGGCACTAGTCGCACTCGCGGGAGTGCCAGTGCCAGTAGGGGTCGTCATCGTAGACCTGCGAGGTGATCGAGAGAACTAGAGAAAGAGAAATGGACGGGGTGACTGATGAGAATGTTTAGGGTTGGGAGGGACTTACCTTTTTGTCCTCGATGAGAGTTGAGGTAGGCTGCTTGGAGACATTCGTGTTGCTGAGCTGGAGTCGCGGGGTAACTGACGGTGCAATGCGGTTGATTTGAATGTACCCTTGCGAAATTCGTGTGTTGGTGTGGTTGACGAATTGTTCTGATGTGCGAACAATTTGACGTCGCATTTGCAAATTCGTGCACACAATGTGTGTCGCGATGCATTTTCCAATTTCGTGCGTGAACTTTTTCTTTTTCTTTTTTGGCCGGGCAGCCCAGATTTTTCCGAACGAATGTACGTGCGTACTGCGTACAGCGTATCTACGTATATACGCTGTACGCTTTCCCAGGCTGGCGACTTTTCCAACTTAGCTATCTTAGTAACGCGAAAAATACTCGCATCACTGCTCGAATGTACCCTTACTAACATAGTGATCCGCAAGCACTGAGAAGACCATTAGCAAAACCAGACGTGCATAAGACTTACCACAACCAACGACTGGGCAGCTGACAGGGGTGTTCCCTTCTACTATTGAGAGGACGCCATTACAGGAAACTTGATCTCATGGATAGGGTGCTTACCCATTTTGTGACCAGCTGACAAGTTCACGATGGCGTCGCTGTCAGCGGTGCCAAGGTCCGGGACGAAGTCGAGAACGAAGACGTTGTTTTTCAGCACTGCCTTCCCGATATAGAGACTGAGAAGAAACGAGGAATGAATGAACTATGAATGAGTTGGGTACAAGTGCTAACCCTAATTGGGTTGTACCCCTTATGGAGTACCCCACTATAGCCTACACAATATGCATGAGCTATATGTTCTGACACACCCCCATAGGCAAAGTGGGGGAGAACAAGGGGTCACAAGACCAGTCAAGCAAGGCAAAGCAAAGCAAGCTCAGGGTGGATCACAAAGTCACCACACATTCCGAGCACAAGTTCAAGGCCACAAGGCCAGTTCACAAGCAGGCGAGCTCATAGTTTCACTATGTGGTTCTTACAGATAAGTTAGTGCAGTGAGAGAGGAGATGCTGTGAGGAATAGACCCATTAAGCCCCCCCGTGAAAGATGTGAAAGATCTATGTGGGGTGGGGAGGTGGATTAAATACAGGAGGGAGTTGCGGAAACCAGAGTCACGCCAGCATTGGGAACAAACGGTGCAAATTCCACCAATGCACGCAGAAATCAGTCAATACAAGCCTGCAGGATTAGCAGCTTGTGTGGGAACTAATCCATCCTAGACGGAGCATGATGACACCTACATCGAAGTAAACATGCCTGAATCGTCACAGGAAAGTCCTGGAGCCAAAAAACAGTCAGCACCCACGGCCCAGCCTCGGACAGCCTTTCCCCATGCCTTCCGGGAGTCCTTGAGAAACGCAGCTGACAGTTGGGAAATGGAGGGGAGAGAGAGAGAGAGAGATAGAGGCACAGACGAGGGAAGTTCCAGCTCTATCACTGAAGACCAGGGAACCCAAAACGGATTACCCGGCTCAGAAGTCCCCAACTCTGAAACAACATCCCGAGGAGGCGCCAATGCTGCCCGAACCCAACTTAGGAGGCGAGCTTCATTTTGGCCCGCGCAAAGCAGCCCAGTCAGAAGCAGCGCCCAGTCACCAGCTGGCTCAGGCAGAAGGCACGGCTCAATCACCAGCCGGCCCAGTCAGAAGGCAGGGCTCGGTCACCAGCTGGGCCAGTCAGAAGGCAGGGCTCAATCACCATCCAGCAAGGCAGATTGGCGAAGGCACTGCAGGCCTTAGTATCCAACCAACGAAGCCACTCTCGAGCCCCTAACTACGCGCCACCCCAGTGCTGCGACCCTCCTTGGCTTCACAGGATTTCCGTCATGCCCTTGCTAGCTGGCCGAGTGGAGCGTGGTACTGCACCGACTCATCGCTAGTAAGGCCGCGCTGCACCGACTCGTCGCTAGTAAGGCCGCGCTGCACCGACTCGTCGCTAGTAAGGCCGCGCTGCACCGACTCGTCGCTAGTAAGGCCGCGCTGCACCGACTCGTCGCTAGTAAGGCCGCGCTGCACCGACTCGTCGCTAGTAAGGCCGCGCTGCACCGACTCGTCGCTAGTAAGGCCGCGCTGCACCGACTCGTCGCTAGTAAGGCCGCGCTGCACCGACTCGTCGCTAGTAAGGCCGCGCTGCACCGACTCGTCGCTAGTAAGGCCGCGCTGCACCGACTCGTCGCTAGTAAGGCCGCGCTGCACCGACTCGTCGCTAGTAAGGCCGCGCTGCACCGACTCGTCGCTAGTAAGGCCGCGCTGCACCGACTCGTCGCTAGTAAGGCCGCGCTGCACCGACTCGTCGCTAGTAAGGCCGCGCTGCACCGACTCGTCGCTAGTAAGGCCGCGCTGCACCGACTCGTCGCTAGTAAGGCCGCGCTGCACCGACTCGTCGCTAGTAAGGCCGCGCTGCACCGACTCGTCGCTAGTAAGGCCGCGCTGCACCGACTCGTCGCTAGTAAGGCCGCGCTGCACCGACTCGTCGCTAGTAAGGCCGCGCTGCACCGACTCGTCGCTAGTAAGGCCGCGCTGCACCGACTCGTCGCTAGTAAGGCCGCGCTGCACCGACTCGTCGCTAGTAAGGCCGCGCTGCACCGACTCGTCGCTAGTAAGGCCGCGCTGCACCGACTCGTCGCTAGTAAGGCCGCGCTGCACCGACTCGTCGCTAGTAAGGCCGCGCTGCACCGACTCGTCGCTAGTAAGGCCGCGCTGCACCGACTCGTCGCTAGTAAGGCCGCGCTGCACCGACTCGTCGCTAGTAAGGCCGCGCTGCACCGACTCGTCGCTAGTAAGGCCGCGCTGCACCGACTCGTCGCTAGTAAGGCCGCGCTGCACCGACTCGTCGCTAGTAAGGCCGCGCTGCACCGACTCGTCGCTAGTAAGGCCGCGCTGCACCGACTCGTCGCTAGTAAGGCCGCGCTGCACCGACTCGTCGCTAGTAAGGCCGCGCTGCACCGACTCGTCGCTAGTAAGGCCGCGCTGCACCGACTCGTCGCTAGTAAGGCCGCGCTGCACCGACTCGTCGCTAGTAAGGCCGCGCTGCACCGACTCGTCGCTAGTAAGGCCGCGCTGCACCGACTCGTCGCTAGTAAGGCCGCGCTGCACCGACTCGTCGCTAGTAAGGCCGCGCTGCACCGACTCGTCGCTAGTAAGGCCGCGCTGCACCGACTCGTCGCTAGTAAGGCCGCGCTGCACCGACTCGTCGCTAGTAAGGCCGCGCTGCACCGACTCGTCGCTAGTAAGGCCGCGCTGCACCGACTCGTCGCTAGTAAGGCCGCGCTGCACCGACTCGTCGCTAGTAAGGCCGCGCTGCACCGACTCGTCGCTAGTAAGGCCGCGCTGCACCGACTCGTCGCTAGTAAGGCCGCGCTGCACCGACTCGTCGCTAGTAAGGCCGCGCTGCACCGACTCGTCGCTAGTAAGGCCGCGCTGCACCGACTCGTCGCTAGTAAGGCCGCGCTGCACCGACTCGTCGCTAGTAAGGCCGCGCTGCACCGACTCGTCGCTAGTAAGGCCGCGCTGCACCGACTCGTCGCTAGTAAGGCCGCGCTGCACCGACTCGTCGCTAGTAAGGCCGCGCTGCACCGACTCGTCGCTAGTAAGGCCGCGCTGCACCGACTCGTCGCTAGTAAGGCCGCGCTGCACCGACTCGTCGCTAGTAAGGCCGCGCTGCACCGACTCGTCGCTAGTAAGGCCGCGCTGCACCGACTCGTCGCTAGTAAGGCCGCGCTGCACCGACTCGTCGCTAGTAAGGCCGCGCTGCACCGACTCGTCGCTAGTAAGGCCGCGCTGCACCGACTCGTCGCTAGTAAGGCCGCGCTGCACCGACTCGTCGCTAGTAAGGCCGCGCTGCACCGACTCGTCGCTAGTAAGGCCGCGCTGCACCGACTCGTCGCTAGTAAGGCCGCGCTGCACCGACTCGTCGCTAGTAAGGCCGCGCTGCACCGACTCGTCGCTAGTAAGGCCGCGCTGCACCGACTCGTCGCTAGTAAGGCCGCGCTGCACCGACTCGTCGCTAGTAAGGCCGCGCTGCACCGACTCATCGCTAAGGCCGCAATGCACCGACTCTTCGCTACGGCCGCGCTGCACCGACTCATTCAAGGCACAAAGTGAAGAGCAGATACAGCCTGCGGGCGTGCGTTGATACTGCTGGATGTATAAACGGAACGTGTCAGGGGATCAACTTTGCTGCTACAGCCTGCGCCAGAAATGTGTCAGATCAGCTTTTGCTACTGCTTCAGCCTGTGCCGGTAATGTATCAGGGGATCAGCTTTGTTACTGCTACAGGCTGTGCCAGAACGCCCCCTGCTTTCTGAGCCTGCTTCTATGGATAACCGAGGAAAGGCTCTTGTGACGATGGGTCTCTCCCATCCCCGCCCTCATCATCACCTTGAAACGGTATCGTCACGAGTAGAGCACTCGTGCCGTGCCACGGAAATTTGTTTGCCGCACGAGATCAGTGCTATTTCAGTCGCATTGTGGCAGGGAAAACGGCATGCTGCTACTACTACGACGTAACAGTGCCATGGTGAGTTTTCGAACGAGGTTACGAGGAGGGAGGTTGAGATTGCTCGCTATTACGCATAGCCGAACAGCGGGGTTGCTGCGGTATTTCCTGTACTACATGGCTGCCTCCGACCTCGTTGGGGCCACCATGACGACATGTCGTTGCCCACTAATTACCACTATCACACCGGGGTTCGAGGAGGTACAAACTAGAGAAGCCTTAAAGCGACGGTGCACATTTGCCACCCAAAACCCAGAACCCTGGCGAACTGTTACTGCGGATGGAAAGTGTCCGCACGAAATCCTGGTTTTCGCCAGCCAGCACTTTTGCGCTGGCAAGCCTGGTTCAAAAAAAAAACTTCTGAACCCAACACTGCCAAAAGTTGCCCGTCGCTTTAAGGTATTACATGCGTTGATTCGGGAGCGAGGATCTAGAGCATTTGGTATTAGTAAGCATTTTGCGAGGAGGGAGGTACCTTGCGTAGCGTTGATCATCGAGACTCCAGGTTGAAATGGTTGCGCATGGCATGGATAGACGAAGGCAGCAAGCCAAAGCGCGGGGGAGAACACAAGCCATGCCCGCGGCTGCATCGCTATTGGCTTTGGCGGCGGCATTTGCGGCGTCGTCGCGGCCTGGATTGTTGCATGTCACGCTAGAAACCTAGCAAGGTTGGTGGGGGAGAGTGCCTACACTTGCACCTCGAACCGAATCGAACCACGAATTGTAGACCGATCGTGCATTTGTGGAAGGACTCGCACCGATTTCGGAGATCGAGAGTGAAATTTCGATCCGGCACCGCATAAAAAACCTGCAATTACAAACTAGAACCTTCAAACTTGGTTAAAACCTGTAAAGTGTTACGGGTGCAATGAATCGAAGTAGCGAGAATTGCACTAAGGTGTCAAACGAGTACAAAAATGTGAGCGAAGGCGTGAGCGAACATTTATACGTGAAACATGCAAACGGTAACGCGGTGCGTGCGAACTAGCTAGTGCTACGCTGGAAGCGAGGCTCGGGCTAGTCCCGAAGCGTAGGCCGACACGGCCAGGCCAGCAGTGCGAGGTTTGGTGAAACAGTGCGCGCGAAGTCGGCGAAGCCCCGTTAGCAGTAACGGGCGAACAACGGCTGCTGCTGTACGCGATGTTGCAGGGTGCGCTAAGGAATATCGGAAAAATTCCTTACACTACCCCCCCCCTCAAGAAGCCTCCTCCGCTACGCGAGTGCGTGTATATCGCGGAAGCCCCGGCTCCTCAGGTACACTTGCAGGGCAGGGTGGTTTTCGATGTTGGCCAGGGGCACCCAGCTGTCCTCAGTTGGCGTGCGATCCTTCCAGCGAACGAGGAATTCAATCCTCCTGATTCCCGTGGGGTGTCGAATCCGATGGCTCAGGATTTTTTCGGGCTCGATGATCGGTTCCGATGCAGGGCGAGTCATGGATGGCGGGCGATGGCGAGGCAGTTGGCTTGTGGTTGGGATGTATGGGCGAAGCAGGCTGACGTGGAACGATGGGCTGATGTACCAGTCGGTCGGTAACAGTAGGTGCGCGGTTACTGGCGTGATCATGTGGCTGATTTGGAATGGGCCACATTAGCGCGGTCGAAGTTTCGGTACGTCGGGCAGTCGCAGATTTTGCGTGTCGAGCAGTACGTAATCCCCTGACTGGTATGTGACTGGGCGGCGGTGGCGGTCAGCGTTGCGCTTAGCGATGACGTTTGCTTTTTTAATTGCTTCTGCGGCTCTGGTGCGGGCAGCTTGCAGAATTTCGGCGAATTGCTGTGCACGTGGTGTTGGGTTGTCCGGACTCGGCGTCATGGGCACTGTAGGATTTTGCCTGTAGTTCAGGTAGAAGGGGGACTGCTGCGTCGTCGCTGACGTGGCGTTGTTGTACGCGAATTCGATCAACGGCAACTGCTGCTCCCAAGTCGTGGGGTCGTCGCACGTGGCACAAATCAACTGCTCCATCGTCTAATTCGTCCGCTCCGTTTGACCGTCGGTCTCATGGTGGTACGACGAGCTGAACTGTAGCCTGGTCCCGAACTGCTCCCAGAGGTTCTTCCAGAAGTTGCTGGTGAACTTCGTGTCCCTGTCGCTGATAATCGCTGCTGGTATCCCGTGCAGGCGAACAACGGCTGCGATGAACAGGCGAGCGGTCTCCTCGGCTGAGATTGACTTTTTGCACGCAGCGAAGTGTGCCATCTTCGTCAACCTGTCAACGACGACCATCACCGCGTCGTTACCCCCAGGGTTCGAAGGTAACCCTGTGACGAAGTCCATGGTAACCTGCTGCCAGGCGCGCTCGGGCGGTGGTATCGGCTGCAATTGACCCGCCTTCCGCTTCCTCGAGCTCTTCATCACCTGACACGTGGGGCACGAGCCCACGTGCTGCTGCACGTCGGTCAACAGCTCCGGCCAGTAGTAATACCGCTGCAGTTGCTGTCGCGTTTTTTCTACCCCAAAATGTCCCGAGGTAATTCCGTCGTGTGCCTCCTGCAGTAGCAGCTCCCTCAGTAGTGAGTACGCGGGTACCCAGATGCGGTTGGTGCCTGTTTTTACGTAATAAACTCCTTTGGCTTCTGCCAGTTGCTGGGAATTTCCGGTCGTGAAAAATGGGTCGGTGCGGTATCCGTGGGTGAATAGGCCTGTTAAAAGAGGGTTGGTTTGGGCGAGTAGGATGGCATGGAGTTGGGCGGTAGGGCGTGTGAGTGCGTCGGCGATGTTGGATGCGCCTTTTTTGTACGTGACCGTGTAGTGGAAGTTGGACTCGAGGTAGACCAACCAGCGAATCTGTCGCGGATTGAGATTTGGTTGGGCGCGTAGGTACTGTAGTGATCGGTGGTCTGTCCATACTGTCACATCGGCGCCAGTCAGGTAACACCGCCAAACCTTGAACGCATGCACGATCGCCAACATTTCGCGGTCGTGTATCTGGTAGTTGCGTTCGGGCGGGTGCAGCTTGCGGGACTCGTACGCGATTGGCTGGAGGCCGTTCCCAAAATCCTGCAACAGTACTGCTCCCACAGCGATGTCACTTGCGTCAGTGACGAGCTCAAACGGACGGTGTGGATCTGCGATGTGAAGCACGGGCGGTGAGCACAAAATGTTTTTGAGGGCCGAGAAGGCAGCTTGCTCTTTCTCCCCCCACGTGTACTCAACCCCCTTCCTCAGCAGGTCTGTCAGCGGGGCAGTCAGCTTCGCCATGTCGGGGATGAACCGGCGCACGTAGTTGACGAACCCCAAAAAACTCTGCAAAAGGTCAAGTTGGTCGGCGCGTGCCATGCTTGAATCGTCGCAATTTTCTTCGGGTCTATTTCCACTCCTGCAGCTGAAATAACGTGTCCCAAAAATTCCAGGCGGTCCTCTAAAAACTCACACTTAGACGCTTTTGTCAGTAGGCGGTTCTCACTCAGTATTTTATAAACTGCTTCGATGTCCTGTAAGTGCTGTGCTCTATCAGGGCTGTAAATCAGTATGTCGTCCAGGTATACTATGACGCACTTATCTAAGAGCGGGCGGAAAGCTTCGTTCATTGTCATTTGAAAAGTGGCGGGGGCGTTGGTCAGTCCGAAGGGCATGACGGTGTATTCGAAGGATCCGTAGCGTGTGCGAAATGCGGTCTTAGGGCAGTCGGGCAGATTGACGTGAATCTGGTGGTAACCCCCTCGGAGGTCGATTTTGGAGAAAACCCGGGCTGTGCGCAGTTGGTCGATCAGTTCGTCGGCTCGCGGGATGGGGTAACGGGATTTGATGGTAACCCTGTTCAGTCCTCTGTAATCTATGCACATGCGAAATCCCCCGTCTTTTTTCGGTGTGAACAGTATCGGTGCTGCGAAAGGCGACGAACTAGGGCGAATGAATTCCTTCTCGAGCAGGTAATCGAGCTGCTTCCTCAGTTCGTCCAGTTCGGGCTGGGTCAGTCGGAACTGTCGCTGTACTGTTGGCTGTGCCCCCGGTTCTAACTCTATCCTGTGGTCGTGCGGTCGCTGAGGTGGCAGTCCCGTCGGTAAATCGTCCGGGAAAATGTCGCTGTACTGCTTCAACAGTGCTGCCAGATCACTCGGTACGTCGGCCAGCAGTTTCTGTAAATCCCCTCCTTTGTCTGCTGCCTCGGCTTCCCGAATGTCGACCGCGTACACGTCAGCTCCTGCCGCTACGGCGCGTTTCATCGTGATCGCGTTGACACGCACCGACGAAGACTCAGGCGAGCCCCAGCGAGGTAAGGCGATGTTGCTACCGTTCACTCACACGGTGCAGTCACCCGTCGTCCAGTCGATTCGCTGATTGTGTCGTCGCAGCCAATCACGCTCGACTAAAATATCGGTTCCGTCGAGGGTCGTTGCGAGCATTTCCTGGCTAAACGTGAAGTTACCCCCACATCGAATCCGAACCCGGTCTACGCGTTCCCGTATCGCCAGCGGCGTGCCGTCTACCAGTCTTGCGTCGATTTCAGGTAAACATCTGTCCAGTGCCAGTCGCAGTTTTCGTGTTGTGGCAGTGTTGATGAGGCTGTGGCTGGCTCCCCCGTCTACAAAGATTTTTACTAAGTCCGTCCCAATTTTCCCACTAAGCAGTATGGGGCTGTCTACCGTAGTCCCCTCCTTATTCGGCC